TAGTTGTATAACAATGTACATATGATAACGCAGCACTGTTTAATGCAAAAACCTTCGCTTTATAATTATTTTTTTTTCACCAAATTACCACAGAGTCTTATTTAGCACCAATCAAGCAGCGCCCCTCTTCTCATGCTGGGGCTGAATCTCAAATGTATCCCTGCTCCCTACATATTGCACTACATAGGAATTTAAATACTGGATCTAATGGTTCAAAGTACAGCTGAGAAATAGTCATTTGGAATTCAGCCACATCCATACTCGATAAATGATGCACTATTTGGCTCTAGAGGCTAGAATTACTAAACTTTCATAGCTAGCACACTTTAGGGAATACGGAGCTGTTCGGGATTCAGCCTGGGTTTGGCGCGACTTGTGACTAAAACATGAACATGTGAAGCATGTAATCCATTCAAGTGACATTTTTTAGACTTTTATTCTGCCGTTATAGTTTATCATACCGTAAGTAATTCAGGCCTGTGATATTAATGATGGAGTTATTTAGGCTGTTGGCTCTTTTATCCTGTTAGCTAGCTGACCAGCCTAGTTCTAGTTAAGAACATAAGTCACCAGCCCCTTCGTTTAAACAAAACGGGTTCTTACTTCATCAATACACTCGGTGGTCCATGTGAGCAGCATGTGAGTCAAAGATTATTCCATTAACAGCACAAGGGTTTTTTTCGTGCTGTGGCGCAGTGATACAGAGTTCTGTTGTTGTGATGCAGTCATAGGTGTGCGTATATCGTGGATTTTACAGCGGCTTTGCAGGCGGCTCAGCCAATCAGATTTTATGACTGGGGGTTAGGATATGGGCCCTTTAAAACACAAAGGATAATTCACATGATATGTGTTGGTATAGTGACGTTAGTCCTCGCATTACCAAGGGGAAGAATCACTTGGTGAAGTGAGAGTCCAGATCTCTGTTAAGCTGCTTGACTTAAAAAGACAAGCAGTATTGAGCTTAGCTGTAAATAAGGTTAAGACTCCAGTGCTGTATGTTTCTGAACACTGTAGGGTTTACAGTGACGAGTAAAAGATGAGCTGAGTTGCAGACGGCCATTTGGCAGCTGTGAGTCATGGGCCATGGCTGAAGCTCACATCCGGAACAAGGTCATTCTCACGGCTGAGTGTTTCCTGTCCCACATAGGCCCAGTGGACCCTCAGGACCTTAGGGCCACACATAAACATACTGGATAGCCTGGTCCACACTTACAGTCTCCAAATGGATGTGCCTTAATTATGGCTTTTAAGAAGGCAGACAAGGTAGTAGTGTTGAATCACAGGGATTCTTTTATAGATTGGCAATTTCATGGAGAGCCAGTCACTGGGGCATTGGATCCAATTTGCCAGAGTGCTGTCCGATTAGAAAGGAAAGGCACTCAGATCGATAAGATGGGTTGATCAAAGTGCTATGAGTTATCCTTCCATCCATACACGGACTCGGTGTCCTCACTCTGCAGCTCCTCGCCTCACTTTCTCTGCTCTCTCCTTTAGTTTTTCATTTTTCTTCTTTATCTGTGTCCTCATCTTCCTTTTGCTATTTTTCTGTTTCTACTTTTAGCCGGATCCTTCTGTTCATGCCCCCCCATCTCTCTCTCTCTCTCTCTCTCTCTCACTCTCTCTCACTCTCAAACACATACAAATGCTAACTTACTCTCCAAAATATACACTCTCTCTATCTGTCTGCTCTCTCCCCCTTTTCTTCTTTCTCTCTGTCTTTCTCTCCCCATTTCTCTTGCTGTCTGTCTGTCTCTTATTCTCTTTATCTCTCTCTTTCTTCCTTTTGCTTCTCTGTTCTCTGCCTCTCTTTCTTCCCCATCTCTTTCTCTCATTCTGTCTGTCTGTTTGTCTGTCTGTCTCTTATTCTCTATCTCTTTCTTTTCATTCCTCCATCTTATTTTCTGTCATTTGGTATTCTCTCTCTCTCTCTGTCTCTGTCTCTCTCTCTCTCTCTCTCTCTCTCTCTCTTTCCTTCCCCCTATCTCTTTCTCTCATTTAGTCTATATTTCTCCCTCTTTTTATCTTTTTTCTCTCTCTTTTTCTTTCCCTGTCTTGCTTTTTCTCTCTCCTTTTTCTCTTTTTTCCCTCTTTTCTCTCTCTATCTTGATTTCTCTCTTTCTCTGCCCTCGTCTCTCTCTTTCTTTTCCCTCTTTCTCTAGCTCTCATTTTATTTGTCTGTCTCTCTCTCTCTCTCTCTCTTTTTCTCTCTGTTTCTCTTCTCTCTCCTCCCCCTCTCTCCCTGTCTCTCCCTCTCTCTCTCTGCAGTCTCTGTGGTTAAAAGAGAAATGATCCTCTTTTCCTCTGGATTTTTTTTCTCCTCCGGGTTGTTTTCTCTGCTCTTGTTAGAGCTCTGAGGCTCTAAACACCTCTCATCCACAGATCTCTGATTTACTCTGCCCTCACTGCCTCCACAAAATCAAAGAGTTTTCACTCGTTTGAAAAAATATATTTAACCCTTAGAAGTCAGAGTTGTTATCAGTGACAGCAAAAGCCTGCTGTCATTTTATATGAATTATTTCTCACGCGTGGCTCATTGACACAAACGGAGAAATTCTGTTGAAAGTGCAGATTCTGAACTTCCACTCCATCCCACATTCATAAGTGGAGGAGGAGATGTGTTAATGATTTGATCTGGTTATATTGTTGGATGTACAGTGATCTTTTACATTTCTGCCTTGTTTTTTTACAAATTAACATTCTACCTGTACTGTACTTACTGTATCTACTGTAAACAGGCTATCATTGTACAGAACACAGTCATTAATGTAGTGACGGAGACACTTTATGATGGAAGTGGAAAATATCACTGCATCTGTCTGCCTGTCTGTCTGTCTGTCTATCTATCTGTCTATCTATCTAACTATCTATCTATCTGTCTATCGATATGTCTGTCTATGTCTGTCTGTCTGTCTATCTAACTATCTGTCTATCTGTCTGCCTATCTATTGGGAGAGTAACAGTACATATGAAGAGTTTATTTGCAAAAAACAATGAATGCCACCCTTTATAACATTGAGCTGACAGTTGTGAGTTATTCTTAAATACATTTTGTTACAAAAGCCATTATGTCTGTTGTCAAGGCAGTGCAAGTTCACGTTTTCATGCAAGTTCATGCAGTGCTTTTCTCGAGCAGAACACAAACACTGGACACAAAGGGCAATATTTGGGTATAAAAGCCAAAATTTCATAACTCACATAGTGCACTGCAACGTTATGTGCGCTCCAATTCTCCTACCCCAAAACCAATCTATGGGAAAACAGTTACTCAATTCTACACCAGTCATATCACCAAACACACTAGCTGTATTTCAGCTGCAGTTCAACCCTTATAAACACTTAATGTCAGCTCAGCAGCTCAGAAATTATTAAGGAACTTTCAGCAAAGAAAGGATGCCAGGTGTCTAGTTCAAGCAAATAAGTAGGTTTAAAAGACTGAGCTCATGGGGACATTTAAATTTTGAATATTTCAAATGTCCATGTAATATTTCAAGGTCTGCTAAAAGTGCCTGTATTTTGCTCATGTTTTTGCATATTTTGAATAAACAATGGCCAGTTTGGGTGATAGCACAACGTTAATTAAAAATTAAAAACATTTTTTTCTCTGGCCCACGGATTTGTTGAGATTTTTTAATATGGCCCCTTTAGCAGTTGAGTTTACCACTCCTGATGTAGGGAGCAGTGAGCCATCTGAGTTTTAGCCTTAGGATTTTCCAACATACGATCTTATAGATGTGAAATATTGCCCATCAATGGGCTCTTTTGCGTAGTTGTTTTATGTAATGAATGTTAAATATTGCACTTAAAAGAAACTTTACATGGCTTTGTTTAACTCTGGAACATGTAATGACCATTGGAGTTATTTGCTTTTGTTAAAAAACAAATGTTTGTATAAAAAATATTTTTCATAAAATTAAATTTTGTAAGTTACCTGTATTTTACTACGTTACACATCCCTCTGGCTCTGACTCCCTGGAGGACTCCATCTCCCAGAATCCTCAAAATGAACACATGACTGTGACGTCATCCCAAACTACCTATCATTTTGTTCACCTGTGCTTTGATTCACGTGATCTAGTTAGTATAGTTTATAAGCCTGGGCTGTTAGCTTTAGACTTCGTGAGGTATTGCATCTCTTGTAGAGCTACTGAGTGTTCATTCATGTGTTGGTTGTTCTGGTTCTGGTTCTGGTTCTGACTCTATTTTTTGGCCTTTTTCTTTACTGCTGTTCCCTTTTGGACCTGTCTGCCTGAACTTGTTTTTGTTATGTTTGTGTATTTTTGTATTTTGTCTTTTTTGTACCTGACTTTGGATCAGAATTTAACTAGTAAAGCTTCTTGTGCTCGTTTTATCTGCATGTGTCTGACTGTCGTCTGTCTCGTTATGCAGCCCGGTTGCGGCTTGATTAATATTACCTGGAATGCACAATTAAAAAATTACAATTCATTAAAGTGGAAATGTCTATTATTGCAAATGAACTCTTTGTATATTTTCAAGATAGATAAGATTTCGTGTGTTGATATTTCGTATCATAAATATTTGGATTTTACAGAGCACTAATAATTCTGTACTACACTGATTAATAATAATACAATATTTATATAATTAAAAATACATTTTTTATTTCAAAACAGAAGATTTCACAGTAACATGTCCTTCTGCAAAAGCCTGATCTTATAAAACAGGGCTACTGGGCTATAAATACAGAAATAGTTGAGAAGTACCCAGATGTCTAGATTGGATCACTGACAGTGGCTTCCAGGAAGGACGGTAAATGAGAAACGCTTGGAAGACACTGAAGGACGTATCAACAAAACAGTATATTTCAACACACTGTTTCAAACATTCATTTGACACTCTGTATTGAAATCATTACACCTGTACTGTCTGTAAATCCATCAGACACTCAGAATGGACATCCATACTGTTTAGGGCCTTTAATGTACCTTTGCACCCCTGTGTCCTCACTGTGTCCTGACTGTGTCCTCCTTTTCCTTCTCCAGCTCTGATCCACTACCAGCCTGCTCTTCCACTGGAGCGCCAGCGCCTTACCCAGTGCATGCCTGTGGGTCACATGACCAAGTTCATCATTACCTATCCCACTGTGAGTCACACATATGGTGTTTTCTCTTTTCTTCCACGTCCGTCTCATCTTCTCTGTCCCCTTTTCTCCTTTGTTTTACTCTTCCTTTGCTCTGCTCATCTCAGTTACACTCTCCTCTGTCCTCTTCTCCTCTCTCTTTCCCCATTCTGCCCTTCTTTCATCTCTCTGTTCTATCCAGCCTGTTTTTGCTGCGTGTTCAGCCACTCTCCCCAGCGTCTTTGCTTAAATGTCATATCATAATGCTCACTGGCTGCACTTCATTCACTCTTGGCCTTTGTGGGTTATATATTTAACAGTCCGTAAGTATTCCTTACATGCCAAATGTTAACACGTGCGCACCATACATTAGCCTAACTGTATTAAAGTTTGATCACATATGCCTTTATGAAAGATGCATAGGACTTTTGTGAGGCATTAGTTATGGATGAAGTTCTCATAAGCGCGTGTAATGTTGGATAGAAGCTGCAGGGGTGCGTCTCTGCCTGTTTTTTAAGTGTGTTTTGGGTAGCATTCATTTTAAATCGAAGGAAACAAACATCCCCCAGACATGCGCACGCTGGCTTTAAATGGTTCTTGTATGTTGGCTGAAGACGTGGGACTCAAATTCACTCGCAACAAACTGCAAGACAAGAGCTTTAACAATGCTTACACTGAATTATCAAGGCATTGTTCTAGCGGTAATTCAGAGAGTCAAAAACATTTGTGCAGTGAGCTCAAGAGACACTGCGCACGCATAGGGATGTGTCATGAATAATCATAAATGCATGAATTTAAGCAAGCATGCACATTTATGCCAAGAATGCCGAGATCTCCTCTCCGGTGCCTCTCCAGTTAATTGTGTTGAATTCTTCATGGAGAGCAGTAGGTGTATAGCTGAGAACCGTTTTAGCATTTCTTGCTGCAGGTACAGTCATGTGTGAAAGTTTGGGTGCCCCCAATCAAATTACATGGTTTGTTGATTTTCTAAGTGAGGATAAGTTAACACATGCTCTACAGAGAACACACTTCTGCATGTTTTAATGCATGGCTAATGTTTATTTGCTGAATTTAACAAATTGGGAACATAAAACGTGGCCTATAATATATAAAATATAACATATCTACAAACCTTAAGACCAAAAAGGTTCTGTTTGACCTGTATTGCACTGAAAATGTTACAAAAATGCTTTATGATGTTTTACCTTATGAACGTTTTTTGTAAAAAATATATTCTAAATTTGACGGCTGCAACAAATGTTACATCACCTTTCCTTTTAATGATCAGTGATCCAGTTTTGAAGGTAAATAAGATAGAAAGTTTTTATATCTATCTATCTATCTATCTATCTGTATGTCTGTATGTCTGTCTGCCTGTTACTTTTTAGATTTTTTGGTATGTTTTCTTTTTTTTCGTTCATTCATTCAAAAACCAAAACAAGCTATTTTTGCAGCTTAGTTTCCTGTTATGGACCATATAAACTGAGAATTTGTTTTTTAAATTTTAACAATGTTTACACTCAACATCAAACTGTTTTAACTAAATAAAATGAGGAGACTTCTGTTTTTCATGGCATGCGACCTTTAAGAACTTACTTTTTGGTTTGTTCAGGCATTTTGGAAGCAGAAGGGCTTTTCGGGGAGATCGTGGCGCGACCCTCTGAGGACTGCCCTTTTGGGGTCACCTTCGATGCCACGAGCCCAAGAGGGAGTCCCGCACTGGTGGGGTTCATTGCCGGAGTGCAGGCGTGCTACTGGAACAGCCGAGAGGTGAGAAGCTGAGAAAGAGTGAGAGAGAGAAGGTGAAAGTGTATGTGTGAGAGAGAGAGAATGTGTGAGATGCACAGAGGGAGAGAGGGAGAGAACATGTGAGATGCATAGAGAGAGCGAGGGAGAGAGAGTGAGAGATTGACAGAGAAAGACGGTGAAAGGGAGAAAAAGGCAGAGTGGAGGAGAAATATTGAGAAAAAGAGGCAGGGAGAGAGAGAGAGATTGAAAGACAATGAAACATAAACAGACAGACACAGTGGAGAGAGAAAAGGAGAGAGATGATAGAAAGAGTGAAAGAGGGAGACGGAGAGAGACGATGACAGAGAAAGCAAAAGTGGAAGTGAAAGATCGAGAAAACGAGAGAGGGAGAGAGATAAAGATAGAAAGACAAAGAAAGGTAGAGAAAAACTCAGAAAAAGAGAGAAAGAGTGGGGAAAAGATAAGAAAATAGAGAAAAGCAGTGAGAGCCTGAATAAGAGAAAAAAGAGTGAAAGACAGTGGATGAAAAAGAGAGAAAGAACAAGTTAGGGAGCAAAAGAGAGACAGAGAGTGGGAGAGAGAGAGAGAGAAACAGTGAGAAAGAGAGAGAGCAAGAGAAAGAAAAAGAGAGTGTGAGAGTATGAAAAGTGAGTGAGAGAGAGAGGGAAAAGAAAGTGTGATATATATACAAATACACAAAGTAAAGAGAGTGAGTAAGGGGGAGAGAGAGAGAGAGAGAGAGTGGGAGAGGGAGTGAAAGTGAGTGAGTGGTTTTAACAGCACACTGAACTCTGTGCTCCGTGTGAAGGGATCGTGTCTCTGAGGTTTGTGCTGTCTGCAGATTCTCGCGGGTCACAGTGAGAGGGGGTATATAACACACTAGAGGGACGGAGGTGAAAATGGATGCAGTCTTCACGTTTAGAGCTCTGACGACTTTTCCTAAGTGATGACTTTCAGCACTCTAAATATATATTTGACTTTGTTCATGTTCACTGAGGTGTATGTGTAATTATCACTGGTGGAAATCCAATAAACAGACTTAGATTGTTGCTGAATTAAGTTGAGAGTTTGAAAAAACGTTAGACTTCAGTCATTATCACCGGACACTAAGCTTTTCCTCTACACTCTTAAAGAGCTATGACACCCCAGATAACTCCTAGCTCAACTTTGAAAAATGCTCTAAATTATATTTAGATCAGGGGTGCACAGCTGCAGTCCTGGAGGGCTGGTGTTTAGCACAGCTTAGACAGGCTTAAGAAACTAGTAGGAGTGACAGGTAAAGCTCTTTCGTGGTTCAAATCTTACCTTAGTGATCGCTTTGAGTTTGTTAATGTAAATGGTGAACCATCAGCTCTCACAAGAGTAAAGTATGGTGTTCCACAGGGCTCTGTCTTAGGACCCATATTATTTACCTTATATATGCTACCACTAGGTACCATCATTAGAAAACATGGCATCAGTTTCCACTGCTACGCCGATGATACACAATTGTATATTTCAGCTAAACCAGAGGACAAAATTGAACTTAATAAGATGGACTGTGTAAAAGACATTAAAGAATGGATGTCAAGTAACTTCCTCTTACTAAACTCGGACAAAACAGAAGTTCTTCTTCTGGGTCCAAAAGCTGCTAGGAATAATCTGCCTACGTATACTTTTAAGCTCGATAATTTCTCAGTTGCACCAGGCACATCTGTAAAAAGCCTTGATGTCACGATTGATCCCAGTCTGGCCTTCGATGAGCATATTACCAACATTACCAGAATAGCTTTCCTCCACCTGCGTAACATCACTAAATTAAGAAATGCACCGTCGCTACAGGATGCAGAAACATTTATTCACGCCTTTATTATGTCCAGGTTAGATTACTGTAACGCTCTGCTTTCTGGTTGTTCCCGCCAAAACCTTAACAAGTTTCAGTTAGTCCAAAACGCTGCAGCCAGAGTTCTCAGCAAAACCAGGAAATTTGACCACATTAGCCCAATTTTGTGTACCTTACATTGGTTGCCAGTTAAATTCCGCATCGATTACAAAATTCTTCTACTGACATATAAAGCTTTGAATGGCCTTGCTCCTCAGTACCTCAGTGACCTTTCCTACTATCAACCGACACGCCCACTTAGATCACAAGGTGCGGGCTCATTGTTAGTACCTAGAATTAATAAAGTTACGTCAGGGAGAAGAGCCTTTTCATACAACGCCCCCCAGCTTTGGAATAACCTACCAGTCAGTGTTCGGGACTCAGACACAGCCTCCATCTTTAAGTCTAGGCTAAAAACTTACCTGTTTAGTCGAGCCTTTGGTTAATTTGTTTTCCTAACTATGTCCCTCTTATCCCCCCTATCCCCCCCTCTTTCCCTCTCCCCCTCTTTTTCCCTGAGCTGAGCGGCTGCCTGTCCTAAGAGGGTCTGACATGACTGATGCGGCCGGCGCACTGCACAGTGGTGTTAAACTGTATCCACTTATACTGTTTTGTGTCTGTGCTGTTCTCCGGTGTCGACCAGAGGAGGAATGGGTTCTCCTATTTGAGTCTGTTTCCTCACAAGGTTTCTTCCTCCTGTTGAGGGAGTTTTTCCTTGCCACTGTCGCCAAGGCTTGCTCACTGGGGACATGGACCCGGATTCTCTGTAAAGCTGCTTTGTGACAATCTGTTGTAAAAGGCACTATATAAATAAATTTGACTTGACTTGATTTGACTTAATGGTTTCCCCACTCAAACACACCCACTAAACCTGGCAATCAGCAGATGAGTATAATCAGGTGTGTTTGTGCAAGTAAATCACCAAGTGGGCACCCCCCTCCAGGACCAGAGTTGTGCTTTAGGACATTTTGGGAGGGAAAGAGGGTCATTTAGAGTGGTCTGTTCATTGTAGAGAAACAGACAGACTCAGATTTCTTTACAGTGGTGCTGAACCTACACGTTGTTTTATAGTCGTATGCAAAAGTTTGAGCACCCCTGGTCAGATAACATGTTTTGCTGATTTTTGAAAATAAATGAAAATGATTAAACACATCCTCTACAAGGAACAAACATTAACATATTGGGGGAAAAATATAAAATATAAACTGTCCATAACAGTAGTTTTGTGGTCTCTGTAGAGCATGTGTTGACTTATTTTCTTTTTTTTTTAACAAAACGTGCTTGACCAGGTGCAGCAAAACTTTTGCATATGACTGTATATGAAATAATGATGGTAAAATAGTAGTAAATCTGGAAAAATGTTTTCTATGGGGACTTTTTTCCCCTACAACATCCTGCATGTGCCTCTGCACCATGAATGAATTTTCAGGCCATACATTTCAGGCCAAACGCTTCTCGTAAATCTGTCATAAAACAATATCTCAGTGATCAAGCAGCTTATTTGTAACCATTTCATATAATAACTTTCAGTCAGAGACCTTTTAGAAGTATTAAAAGCTTCAGTCATGTGATTTCTGTAACCACCACTGTGAACAGTTCACACTCTGTAAGTTTCTCTAGAATGGAGCATTTCACATCGAACCACTTTGAATGACTTTGGTTACGTATTAACCTTGAAATTATGTAGACATTTGAAAAAATCGGTGGATTTGCCCTTTAAATGTGTTTCCTAGAATATCCCCATATCCAAGCCAAGACCTATTTTGGAACGTTTATTTTGGAGGGTGTGTGTTCTGAGTGTGAAATTGCTTCATTTGTCACTTATTGCTCACACACACGGCGATCTTGCAGCTCCACACTGTCTGAAAGCTAAGAAGCAGATGATTCCATCTAAATGGGCTCTTTGAGGCTACATGTCTGATAACTGGCCCCTTTCCCTCCGCTGCTGATAAAACGTCACATTGGTGGCAGTCATTCATTATAAATGCAGCTCAGTCTGCATCTGCCTCCATCCTCCTGCTGCCTTCATTCAGAATTCAGCAACATCATCAAGTTTTAAGACGGACACGCTCATCCGCCTGCTATGTTCCATAAACACGCTGTCCCGAGCATGCGTCACTATTCATAGTAGTTGTCTATCCCTATATGCACTGTGGGTTATGATGTCTGCACTCGCCTGTCAAAAGTTTAGAGACACCTGAAAGGTTTCCAAGCAATCTTAAGATTTTCGTTGATACTTCTTAGTTAACCCATTAATGTCCATATGTGAAATTAAAAATTTCCTTTTGCCTGCCCGGAGCACAGAACAACAGACATTGCAGAAGCAGTTATTAATCTCGGTGTTACTGAGCTCCCCTAAAGCCTGAGTAATCTCAGTGCGTGAGTAGACTGATAAGTCAATATTATAATCAGATAATAATCTCAGGGTTACTGAGCTCTGGTAAAGCCTGAGTAAACGGATAAATCAACGTGATTAGTTATTAATCTCAGTGTTCCTGTGCTCTGCTTAAGCCTGAGTAGACTGATAAATCAATGTGATGATCAGTTATTAATCTCAGTGTTACTGAGCTCTGCTTAAGCCTGAGTAGACTGATAAATCAGTGTGATCAGTTATTAATCTCAGTGTTACTGAGCTCTGCTTAAGCCTGAGTAGAATGATAAATCAATGTGATGATCAGTTATTAATCTCAGTGTTACTGAGCTCTGCTTAAGCCTGAGTAGACTGATAAATCAATGTGATAATCAGTTATTAATCTGTGTTATTAAGCTCTGCGAAAGCCTGAGTAGACTAATAAAACAATATGATGATCAGTTATTAATCTCAGTGTTGCTGAGCTCTTTTAATGGATGATCAAGCTAATGTCTCAAATGTCTCTAACGTTTCCGAGTGATAAATTTAGCATCAGTGTTGTGCAGAACTCCTGTTTTGGGGGATTGTGGGAGCAGCAGCGAACTGAAGCAGGCAGTGAGAGAGAAGAAAAAATTGAGAGTTTTTGAAACTTCATTTAAATTATGTGAATTTTTCATGAAATATATTAGAATAATTACATGAAGAAAATTGCCAACAGTTACAGCGAGGAACAGTGTGAATTAAAAACAAAAATTAATAATAATAATAATAATAATAATAAAAAGATTTTCCCATGTGCCTTACCAAGTAAAATATTCTAAATATATTCTAAATGCTTTACTTTTTTATGTTTCGCAATGGACTATATCGCTGTATACTTTTAGGACAATGTATTCAGTATTCAGTTATCAGTACTTTTTCAGAATATTTTTCTAAAATAAACTCAACTTCCTCTGTGAGTTGAGTCAAATAAATTATATAAAATCACATGCATTAATATAAATTACATGCGTTAATATAACATTTAATGCTGTTATTGTTAGTAGGTGTGACTTCTTTGGGTCACCTGAAAGTGCTGCCATTACAACAGGAATTTAAAATGAGTAGAGTTTGGCAGTGTGTCAACGGTGGGGCTTTTCTTGCTTGCTTGATCAGTTTTTGCAAAGAAAAGTGTTGAGATCTAAAAAGCTTTCTGTGTATGTTTTCAACGAAGAAAACATGCTCATTTGTATTGCAAACATTCTCTGTGTCCTCAAACCTGGCAGTATGTTCTGCTCCATCTTGCTGGTGTTTTTCTAGGCCCGTGCTTCTGGTTACTTAGCATTCCTCTCACCCGAGGGAGCTGTCAGAGTTTAGAGAGTGGACGTGCAGTGTGATTTTGCAAGCCTCGTTTTATTAGCAGGTATTAATGCTTAGCCTCGCCAATCCATACAGACGCTTTCATGCCATTAGCTTCTGCTTTCTGATCTCAGCATGTCTGATCTTTTGCTGCCCCAAAGCTACAGACTCCCCACTGCTCCTCAGATCCACTATTGCGTGGTCAGTCCGCATTAACTTCCAACTACTGCTCTGGACACATTTACTCAGCACAGGGCATACAGATGTTTTGATTTCATGTTGTCTCGTAACATCTGTCAGTTTGGTGTAGTTACAGCTCAGCAGCTGGTGTGGGGGCCTGATTGTGCTGACATTCATAACTCACTGTAGGGGAGGGTAAGGGGCAGATTTATTCTAATCGATCAGACACGCAGTGACCCGCCCCAGTATGCTGCTCTGAACTGCATTTTTATCCTAAGGGCTCGTGTTGGACGATATAGCTTTTTCTTTAGTAAATGAAATTGTTCTATATAGAACCATGACATCTCAAAGAACACTTTGCATTATTAAAGGGTTCTATGCATCATGAAAGAGTTCTTTAGACTGATTGAGTCTACACACTACACTACAGAGTACAGACACCAAAAAGGGTGGTTCCTCAAGGGTTCTTTAGTAAAGAAAATGGTTCTATATAGAACCATGAGCTCTCTTTAATGGGCTCATACTGTACTACACACTTAAAAAGATGATAGATAGATAGATAGATAGATTCAACTTTACTGTCATTGCTCAGTACAAGGCAACAAAATGCAGTTAGCATCTACTAGAAGTGCAAATAGTAGCAATAATGCAAAATGAACAGTGCAAATGTGCAATAACAGGCATAAATATAACATATCCATGAAATATATAACTATATGAACAATATATACAGAATTATAATTATATCTATGAATGAATGATATATGCATATATATATACACATAATACTACAATATAAACACAATATATAAGGTATGTTACGTACTGTTGGAGTAGGCAGTTATGTGTTGTATTCTATATACAGTGAACAGTCTGTTGTATGGAAATGCAAGGGATAATAAATAATAAATACATATTGTGTGCAACATACAATACTACAAGATTAGCAGAGTGGTGTGGAGTTCAGCAGGGTGATAGTAGAGGGAAAGAAGCTGGACCTGAGCCAACCGGTTCTGGTCCGAATGCTTCTGTTTCTCCTCCCGGAGGAAAGGAGGTTAAACAGTGTGTGGCTCGGGTGGGAGCAGTCCTTGATGATGCTGTGCGCTCTGCGCACACAGCGCTGGTGATGAATGTCTCTGACGGCAGGGAGCCATGTGCCAGTGATGCGCTCAGTGGTCCTCACCACTTTTTGGAGGGCCTTCCTATCGGCCATAGCGGAGCTGCTGTACCATGCTGTCACACGGTTGGTCAGTATGCTTTCGATGGTGCAGCAGTAGAAGTCTGTGAGAATCTGAGGAGACAGATGTTCCTTCTTTAGTCTCCTCAGGAAGTAGAGGCACTGCTGTACCTTCTTAATCAAGTGTGAGGTGTTGAGTGTCCATGAAAGATCTTCAGAGATGTGTACTCCCAGGAACTTAAACCTGGAGACACGTTCTACCTCAGAACCATTGATTCGGACAGGAGAGTGTGTGCAGCTTTTGTTTTTCAGGTAGTCCACAATGAGTTCCTTGGTTTTGTCTGTGTTGAGGGAGAGGCTGTTGGTGGTACACCAGGCAGCCAGGTGCTGGATCTCCTCCCTGTAGGCCAATTTATTATTGCTGCTGATGTGGCCAACCCCTGTGGTATCGTCTGCAAATTTAATAATGATGTTTGATGTATGCAGAGGAACGCAGTTGTGGGTAAACAGGGAGAAGAGCAGAGGACTCAGTACACAGCCTTGTGGGACACGGGTGTTCAGGGTGAGGGGGGAGGACATATGACTGCCCAATCTCACAGACTGGGGTCTGTTTGTCAGGAAGTCCAAGACCCAGTTACACAGGGGGGGTAATGAAAATGATTAAAACATTGGCTCTGTTAAGAATCATGAGCTCTCAAACAACCCTTGTGATTAAAGGGTTCTTTGCATCATGAAAGTGTTCTTCAGACTGATTCAAAATGTGCTGTAAATGGTTCTCTATAGAACCTTTTTAAAAAGGGTTCTATATAGCACCAAAAAAGGATTCTTCTATTGTTAACCTAATGTTAACCTCTCATGCTCGACACATTCTCCATCATTCTGAAGAACTTTTTCCCGGTGCAAAGAACCCTTTAATCATGCAAAGGTTCTTTGAAAGTTCATGGTTCTAAATAGAACCATTTTCTTTACTAAAGAACCCTTGAAGAATGACCATTTTAAGTGTGTAGTACAGTGTGATGCTGACATACTGTGTTATTGCTTTTCATATTTTTTATGGCAATATTTGAAATATATTTGATCGGTATTAAAAGTTTATGTCATGGATATGTCATGTATTGAGTTGGCAGTTGAAGGGGAAATCAAAATATCTGTCTATCTATCTCTCCATCCATCCATCCATCCATCCATCCATCCATCCATCTAATTTGCCTTTTATGAGCTCATTCATAACCAGGCTCAGTTCTGAGCCCACTGGTTTTAGCTCTGCCCTCACCTGAACCTAGTAATACTCTGATGAGATGATTCATCAAACTTGTTATGCATCCATAGTATACAAGCCTCTTCTTGCACATTTACACTGAGCATTTATCTTATTGTCTGATAATTGAAGGTGCTTCCATAATTTCTTAGGCATCTGCGTTCTTTAAGCATAAATGCCCTCTTAGAAAGTGTGAAAAAAAACCTTCCAAATAGTAAATAGAGAACCCAACACCAAAATAACAAACAAATTCTGGAGTATTTGAATTATTCAGACCAGCCCTAATTGTTTATATCTCTGTGACTGAATTATGCATGATGCATTTTTTTAAATTGGTATAACTCCCCTTTAACTGCAGTGAATATCATTTGCTGGGTGATTCGGTTCATTTTAGGACAACAGTTTAAAATTCATAAAAACTAAATTTCCTCTCTGGAATTGTGCTTTCTGTCTGCTTTATGTTTACAACACTGTGTTATGTTCCTTTTGTCTAACTCTGAAAGGAGATGACAGATGAGTTACCTTTATCTTTAGCATTAGCTTAATTAATGCTATCATAAATATCGCCTGATAATGTGATATTTGGAACTTTGTTCTGAACTTTCTAAATGCTGTCTGGTGCCACTAAAGGCCTGCACCTTTCTATTTCCTCTAAGAGAAACAATGAAAAGCCATCACGACTCGCTGTGCAGAGAGATCTAAAAATGAAAGGTGCTCTATTCTTGCTCCCTTTCAGATGGAGGAGAGGAGAGATGCTGTCGTTGCTAGCTTGGTGAAGTACCTAGACCCAGAGGCAGCCTCCTACGTCCACTACGAGGAGAAAGTAAGTGTTGAATTCGGCTTGTGTCTGACACGACCTCTGAGTCATCTTCCTCCACGGTCACGAACTCATCTTTTCAGCACGGCTTCATTAAGGCTGCTGTATGTTAATTGGTAGACTGCAGCGCGGCTCTGTTAAAATAAAACGTGCTAACGTGTTCTGACAAAGGTTCCTCTCTTGATGACAGGCTTTAGCATTTTGGTCGAGCTCGTGTTTAGACGGGCGAACGTCTGATGATTGCTGCAGTGGTCGAGCCTGTACTCAGTTTTGACAGGATGCTAAAATAAGTTAGCTAGCTAGCTAGTGCATCTTGGTTGATGGAAGCTGCTTCTACCTTTCTCATATGTAAGACTGCCTTTTTGTTGTTGTTCTCTCTTGGCGATTGGACTGAGAGCAACACAAGGATGCTGTCCCACACCAAAATAAGCAAAGGCAGCTCAACAGGATGTCAGTGACTCATCGTTTACTTCTGACTTGCTGTCTGGACTGGAGGTTAAGATTGCATGACCGGATTCTTAATGCATGACCATTCATGTCAACTCCACATGAGAACTTTAAGGCAAATAAATCCACTTCAGACCATGAGATCAGCCTTTCTATTTCATATAAACTGCAAAATGCTCTGCCTTCAGCCTGATTACTCATTGATGAAGGTCTTACAGTAAAACACATGGAATTAGGTCTGCAGTTGCTGCTGAACTTGACCAGATGCCTAGGCTTGACGGATCTTGGTGAGACTATTAGCTCAGCTTCTTTACACCGCAAAGCTTCAGTCAGGCCTGTCTCTGCACCTCATGAATTAGTCAGAATGTGAAAACTCTCGCTGTTCTCAGATTTACATCTTCAGCGTGAAGTTGGGAGGAGAATGGAAAAGCCGTTAAGGACAGGCAGAGTTAGTCACCTCTCTCCTGACACTACGCGGGTTTTTCTGGCTTCCCTGCGCTGTCAGGAACTCCTGCGACTTTTTTTATACCTCTCATGTGGCAAAGCTGTGGGAGGAGAGAAGAAAGCACCTTCAGAATTGTATGGCCACATCCAAAAAGGTATTCTCCTGTCTGTCAGAGCCAAAACGGCTATTTATTCCCATGGAGGACTTCAGAGGAGGCCTGCGCAATGCAGGCGGCGACATATAAGGCGTAAGTGAGATTGACAGATGGACACGTCAGCCTGACAGTCATCACGGCGCCGATCTGTGCTGCAGTTCTTCTTTCTCGCTGCTGAGACGGGTCACGCAGTGCTCTAGCACTTAGCCAAGTGCTGCTCTTGCCCGGAGGAAGTCCGCGAGAGTGAAAGGCCAGAGGGCCGAAGACTCGCTAATGCTAATGATCCCCGTGTGAAGTCCCCCAGCAGCTAAGCGGGGACAAGTGATATTAATTAAGGTGTACACACATTGCCTGTTAACACATATTTGCATGTAGAGACAGTTCCTCAGTGCCGGGAGTGTTGATATGTTGGTGGACCATAACAACATAATAACTGTAAACTTTGTATAGACTACCATTCAAGTTTGGAATTGGTTCAAAAATAGGGACGGTTGTGTGTTGATGACATCTTTTCTTACACTGTGAAAACTGGCTCGTCATATCAACCTAAAAATGACTTCATCTGGTAACAAGTGAACTAACTAGTTTTATTCAACCTTAATAAATACTTTGAATTAACGATTCTTTCAATCAGTGTAATTTTTTGAGGTAAATAAAACTAGTTCAGTTGCTTGTTACTACATGAAGTATTTTTTTTAGGTTAATCTAACAAGCCATTTTTTACAGTGCAGGGCAAAAATTCATTTTAGAAGGGATCTGACCACCATCTAGACAGCTTCCTTATAACAAAATCATTAGAAAAATAACCCACTGCGTTACAATAATTAGAGCAAAACATTTTTTGAATATTGAATAATGTTGGGTAACGACTAATTTAGGCTAAATAGTTAAGAGTGAATGTTTGAAAACTGTTGGTTCCACATAATTTTTTCACAGTATCAAACTTTGTTTTATTTACCAATACCACTTAGCCCTTAGCCCTCCATTTAGCGCGTTCACTGAAAAAGGAACATAACAGAAATTAAACCATTTTTGGAGTTTGTCCAGATCAAAGTGATATGTTGAAAATTCATATTTATCCCAAGTTGTCAGAAAAATTCAGGTTCCAGTAGTTATGGGCTGGAGGAGGCCAATTGTGTGCTAGCAAGCTGGGATGATTTTGCAGCTCTATGCAGCCTTATAGTTTAAACAACTGATGCCATCAAAATATCCCTCGAGCCAGCCACAATGAAAAAAACATGGATTCGACAGAGTTAAAGAGTCAACTATTTTGGAGCCGACACCCCGTCACTACTACTACTTGCTAACTAGGTGAATTGCTTTTAGTAACTAACACAGCTGCAGTGGAGTGGAGCAGGATAACTCAAGCCAGGCGTGCACTACACAATTCTTTGCCCAGTTTTAACCCTGACATGCCTCTTGCGACAAATTTTCACAATCAGAAGCTATTTTCCAGGTCAAAACTTGATCGAAAGCAACTGACGGTGCGGATCATGTGGTAGTGTGAGAGGAGAAACAAGTAAATCTTAAGCCCTCAGATCAAAAAATGGTCGAGGGCCCTCAGATATTATCAAACATGTTTGATATTTACGACTCAAAACTTTCACAAGTCTTGTAGTGTGAGAAGGTCAGAGATGCACTTAGTGAGTGGTTCAAATAGCCAATCAGAGAGCTAGATGAGCAGAGAAACAGGCAAAGAGATGATTAGCTTAATTTGTGTCATGTGATCTGAGGAATTCTGGGAGCTTATGTTATTAACCGCAAGATGACATGTTTTATGAAGTAAATAACATTGTACTGACATAAGGGACCATAAACTAAAGTGATGGACAGTTTGTTTCATTTATAATAATGTTATAACTATGTTCTTCTCAAATGATAGAGCTTATACAAGGCTATGCAGAGGCCTCAATAAAAACACTATATTAATTGTATATAAGTACAAAAGTTCAGCTTTTAAGATGTTACAAAAGGAATAAATGTCTATCACCCTTATGCCTACCCACTTAAAATGCCAGACTTACTACATTTACCTCATTAAACATCCTGTGTCATCTAGCGAATAATGGCATAAACTGTTCATAAATCCTCAACTACTAACTTTATAAGTACATAATTCAATGTTTATTCATGTGTTATGAAGTCCTTATGCAGATAGCCTTCAAATAAACTGTTACCCAGTTTTGTTTGTGCACATGCACATCCATTTTTATACTTCTTAAAACACTAATTTGAAAAACAGCTCATAATCATTAGCAGGCAAATTTGTGGTTCTGAAGCTCACTCACTCGCTCAACACTTACGTGAGATAAAAGTCACTCAGTGTCTGATTCATATTCTTTATTCTTATAGTAAGTGTCTGCAATAACCTCCTCCTGCAGCGGGGATTTTTAAACTAGTTGTTAACCTAGACCAGGGGTCAGCAACATGTGGCTCCGGAGCTGCATGAAGCTCTTTTACTGCCCTGTTGTGGCTCCACAGCAGAATCAGATTTAAGTAAAAATAAAATTATTTTCCTTTGCAGTAAAATAAAGCTCTGCTGATTGTTCTAAACACAGTTTTAACAATAAACGGTCTTAAATGCTGGAGTTAATGTAGCCTGTAACTGCTAATTCACCGTTTAACCCTAACAATGGACTTATTTGTGTTTACAATCTCTCCAGCTGGTTTCCTGATATGTTTAATCTGCAACAAGAAACTGTCAAGCACTAAAATGGATGGGAATGGGAAAATTTGAACTAGAAGCTGGCCTCAAAAATCGCACATTGAGAGACATTTTACACAAAGCTATTTTACTTTTGTGTAGAAGTTTTCTGCCAGAGATGCAGAAAAAAAGCAGCTATATGTGAGCTAAAGCTTAAAAGCGCAAAGTAATTCTGCGTTTTTGTTTTTATTTTTTAGCCTATACTAGTACATTAGCACGTGCTGAGACTTATTTACAGCCAAGATGGTAAAATGTTTGTGGCATGCGCCCGCCCCCCCACCTTCCTGCCGGCTCTGACGGCCATCATCGTCGGGGCTCGAACACCCAGCGGCGACGAACCTCGGCCAGGATGGCAGGGAGAGAGCCGCGAGTGGGGAGGGGGCGGAGCGCAAAGCCTGAGCTCCGCCGAGTGACGCAAGTGATGGTGGGAGGAGGAGGAGGACGACGACGACAGTGCCGGCAACAAGAGGCATGAGGACAAAGAGCGAGTCCTGAGCTCCGTCGCCCGGGCCCTGCCCCTTGTTCCGCGAGGCCGCCTCATTACAGCTCACGTTCGACCCAGGCGGCCGAGCTGCAAGCTGCGGTGGTGAGGAGGAGACGGAGCGGCGAGCTCTCGTTCCCTCTTGGCTCAGGTGCTCACGCTGCCCTTAATGAGAGCCAGCTGATGCTGATCTGGCTGGCAATGTGAGCGCCTTTAAAAAGAGCTGAGAGGGAACAGAGCGAGAGAGAGAGGGATGAGCAGCAGCCAGGAACTGAAGAGCTGAAAAGCTTGAGGAAGACTGAAAAGTCTAGTTAGCTGACTGAAGCCACTGAAAAGTGGCCAGCATAGAGTAGGTTTGAGTTTGTGTTTATTTGTGTGGGTGAAATTATGATATGGCTGCCGCTCGTCCCTCTCTCTCCCGCTCTGTTCCCTCTCAGCTCTTTTTCTTGTAATGGACAACATACAAATCTCTTTTTTGTTGTTTGTTAAATCACTGTAAACGTGTGTCTCCACTTGTAAATGATGGAGTGAAGTCTTTAATATAAGGAGACATAAATTTTTGATAGGAGAATAATGCATTGTTGTGTTGACAGCAGATGACCAGAAGACAAAGTTAAACCAAACAGGAGCCTGAGCTTAAGGTATCCGAGCAATTATGGGGATCCCTGCTGCTCCCTCGCTCCCAGCAAAATCGCCTACTCCGCTTTCACTCTGCACCACTCACATAATACCCTCCCACAGTAGTGACTTAAAAAGTCCTGCGGGAGATACAGCC